AAGGAGGGGGCAGGAGCAGGTTGTGGATGCAGGGTCTGGGCAATGGGGGGTGCTTACCTGCACAGCTCTCTGGGGGAGGGGACACAGCTCCATGTCCCCTGCCGCTCCCAGGCACCACCTCCCCTCTGCTCCCATTGGCCCTGATTATTGCCAGTTGGAGCAGTGGGGAAAAGCCCCCAGATGAGGGCTTTCCTGAGCAGCCGTTTCTCCAGCTGGGGGAAGGGAGAGCGGCAGTGCGCAGAGCTGCTTCCTCCACTTGCCAGGCAGAGCCTGTGGGCCGGATCTGCTCCTGGCATGCCTGACTCTAGGCCCATCTGCCCACAGGAAGAACCGGCTCTCCTAGGCTGAGAGGGATGGAGCCCTGAACCTCAGGGACCAGATCCAGTTCGTGGAATGTAGGTTCCTCACCCCTGTTCCGCAGCCTTACTCTATGCTATAGGAAGTGGCATTTCATTTATTTGTCTTTAAACCTCCCAGCTATTATTTCTATTGCATGGCCCGTTCTCCCCACAATTACCTTTGAACAACATTCCATTCCTATCATCTTGGCTGAATATGCTGTAGCCTCCCTTCTCCCACCTCTTTCTGTCCCAAAGTTTCATAAAGCAATGACCTTGCACTGAGATCCCAAGATTACACCACTGTATTTGACCTGTTACATGCCTTAGAAGCATCACAGCAATATGATTTGGGCTCCAAGGACAGAAAATAACTAAGTTTGCCCTGGTAAGCTTACCATGGACATGCATGGCTAAGCGTGGACTCTAGCAAGCAAACCCACTTGACTGAACGCAAGACAGCATTAATTTCACTTGCAGAATTCAGCACTCCTAGCCAAAGGCACTGGTACACTTCACATTACAAAACACCATTCTCCATACCCAAAGGGTCACAGTTAACTATACCCAGCACAGGCAAGGAAGACGCCTGTACATCCTTGTGTGGGACTGCATGGACTGGCGGAAGCTTATAAACCACTCTACCTCTATAGGGATGTAGAGCATGAATCCAGGTTCTCCTGTATGCGTCATGCTCATCACACGGATCCCATTTGCATACCCCACGCTCATTTCCTGTGGAAAAAGGGAGTTAAAGAGAAGGGCAACATTCAGACTGGATCGTGGCAATTAAGATCCATAACAAGGACCATACACACACAATGCAAACCCATGGGCTAAGCCTTCTCCCTTCCTCAACTTAATGCCACTCATCAATTCTTTATTCCTGAAGTTGATTGGTTGCAGGGCATTTGCTGTGTGCACTAACATGTCTGTCATCAGGAAAGCCATAAACACTACAGGTGAAGGAATTTGCTGGACCAGGAGAGGTCTGCTGCTGCCACTGGCTTTGTTTCTGACCCCTCCTCCAGTTGGCTGTGCTGCTGGCTCTGGCCAGTGCCCCACGCTTCCAGAACCCCCTGTCCCAGGGCTCCCCCGTCCAAGAACATCTGTGGTCCGGCCAGACCAGAGAGTCCCAGTTTAGGGAGGTACCACCTGTACTGCCAAAAGGGATGCTGGGAGAGAGGCTCTGCAAACACACAGAAGCATAAAGAGCTGTCTTTCTAATTCTTCACTCAACAAGCAGTGAGAGGAAGATGCCCACATTCATATCACTCAAATACTGGCAAGGCTGGGAACATCCACCTCTTATTCTGAGAAGAGTTTCTTCAGAAGAGAAGAAATCCTGTGAATCCTGTGGTGGGAAAGGAGAGGCATCATTCCTTTTGAGGTTATTAGGGGCCAGGACCAGTGGAAAACCTGCTTTTTATTGGGATGTATCAGAGAATTAGATGCTGGATCATCTGTTAACATTACAAAACACCATTCTCCATGCCCAAAGGGTCATGATGCTGGATCATGTGCATGTGGGTTTAGAGGCAGGAGGAGAAGTTATGGAACCACCCCTAAAAAGAGAGACACCCAGTGGTACAAGCCACTCACTTATGCACTACACAAGCATCTGTCTTGGCGGCTAGAATGTTGCCACAGAGCTGGAGACAGACACCCACACCTCACTACCATTATGTAGTACTCAAAATTCCTAATTTATTCCTGGGTATAATAGGCCTGCATGAGTTATCCAAAAAAGCATTATGAAATGTAACTAACTCTTCCCGGTGAGAGAAATAAATCTTTTAGAAGGATAAAAATGCCAACTACTTTGCTGAAGAAACTTAAGATAAATGGATATTTTACCATTTGGAACCTTTCTAATCAGGATTGCTGTTAAATAAAATACAAAATGCAACCCACACAATAGTGTAGCGCTCTGCTTTATTTTTAGACGCATCTCTAAAGCGGAGCCTCTGGAAAATCAACAGGGAGTTTTCTAGACGTTGGTGGAAAAACTGCAGGAAAAATTCTTATTTGCACTGAATACTTTACAGTTACTCAGATACTGCAACACAGTATTTCTGAACTGAAAGGATCTGCCTGCCTGCCTCAGACAAAACTGCCAGAAATGGCGGAGATTTTGCTTTGAAAACCTAACTGAATGGACTATATTTGAATCTGTTTCTCAGGCATTTTTGCAGGTCAGGATACATACAAGCCGTTTTGGATCTATGAAACAAATAGGCAAGATACTTTACCAGTGTAACTAAACAATGATGAAATTACTCAAGTACAGTCACCCACCTTGCAGAAGAGAGATGGGAAGTGTTCTGGAGTCATGGGGGCATAGGATAATTCTGATAGGACGTCCACTGCACGAGGACCAATCAGATTGAGAGCTAGACAGAGAAAGAAAAAGGTTTTCTACTGAGTAATCAGGTGGATAAAGCGGAAGGACCCACCTGGCCACATTCTTCCGTTACACCTTACCTTTTTCCCGTCTCTGACTTCTGTATAAGTTATGACTGTTGCCCACAGCAACAGCTGAATGAAATTTATAGAGCTTCACAGAAATGAGAAATGGAAAAAGATCTTCTAGGGATCAGCTAGCTGGTTTTTTGGGAGCTTGTGAGGAAGTTGAAGGGATGTCCAAGCTTATGCGCATTGGAAGAAATTATTTAAACAACTCGGATGCATTACTGGGTTTTACGTGACCATTCAGAAAAGAGACCAGAATGTCACAGTGAACAGATTACAAAAGCAGGAGGAATTTTAGGGCACATAACAACCTGTCTCCAGGCATGTCTTACCAGTGTATTTCCAGGTCACATCCTCCAAGAGTAAGTTACTGTCATTAGGCATGTGCTTTTTGAGCCAGGCCCAGCAGTGGATTTGCTGATCAGTAGGAGAAATCATGAAGAAGCTAGAGCAGAAAATTAAAGAAATTAAGAACATGAAGCAATGATCGGATGGCCACTAAGTGACTCCGTTTTGTTCTCGCTCTGGGAAGCATCACCAAAATTAACTTCTCTGAATGATGCAGCCAGGCAGTAATCAAGGACAGAGTAGGAATGTAAAATGTTGTTTAAAAATGTAATCATGTAACCACTAAAAATCCTAGTGGTTTCAATGCCGGCCCCGCTCTCAAGGAAACTTCACGATAGGCTCAACAGTATAAAAGTTATACTGCAGAGCCTGCAGCGAAGCCTGCTCCCAGGGAACCAGTGTGTAACCTGTAGTGCACTGCCTGGGCTGAGCCCACTACGGGACAGGGGCTTTTCTGGCCAGCCAGAGCAGTGGGCCAAGAGCTGCTCTAGCCCCTACCAGTTAATGGTAAGCCTCACCTGGTAAGGGTGAGGCTTAGTGGTTAACCACTTACACCTCTAGAACAGATGCAAATTGTTTGCTAAGATCATGTACAAAGTCACTGTCCTGATAGTTAATTTCTGGTGGTTTATTGAGGTACAAGAACTGGACTAGAGACTGTGCCAATTGCTAAAGAACATGGGGCATCTCAAATAGCATGATCACAGTACAAAGTTATTAACTATTCACAACTTGATGCAGCCACTGAGATTGTAGTTACTCCAATAACCAATAAGTGGTTTTAGTCCTTATGTAATTTCCTGTTTCAAGAGAAATGAGTATAACCCCCCCCCAACTCTGCACACCGTAGGGGTTATTGGCATCAGTTTCCAAGGACAGAACTCGATTTAATCTAGCAAAATGAATGCTATTTATATTCATCGCTGAAGGCCTAGTACAACTTTATTTGTTTTAGCAGTTTCCAAGGACAGAACTCGATTTAATATAGCAAAATGAATGTTATTTATATTCATCGCTGAAGACCTAGTACAACTTTATTTGTTTTAGTGTCTTTTATTGAAAGTGTATCCCAAAATGCTTTACTGAGTTACAGAATACACATAACAGGCGGGAAAACTGAGGGTCACGCAAATGCGTTTATCAGTTATTTGGAAACAAATGGAGAGCTGATGCAGTGACAAGATAAAGAGAAGCTGTTCCAGGTAGCAAGAGCTGCAAAGGAGAAGGCTCTCACAGTAACAATAGGGAGACCGTGCGGAGGGACAGAAAGAAAAGTGATGCCAGGAGAGGGGACTGGTGTAGGAGATAAGCTATGTAACGTAGTCTGGAAGAAATCCATGAAGAGTTTTGAGATTGAGGGAATGTTTGGACTAGATCCTGAAATGATCGATCAATCAGTGGAGTTCTCCATGACCTGGGCCATGTAATCATGCTACACTGTATATCTATGGGGAGGGACCGTCACCAGAAGTTTGCACAGGCTACAGTCTGATGAGCTGATGATTGGGGAAGTCATACCACAACATGCAGAGTTAAATCAAGGAGAGGCAAGGTGAGGGCTCAATGCAGTTATGCTGGCAGGCATGGTGTCTGTATTTTCAATAATGGAGATAAACTAGGGGGCTATGTATGCCTTCTGCTTGCAACACTTGCCTACCACCCTCCCCCCTGCCCAGCCGCTTTCATGTTGCTGAGAGACCCTGATGACATCATTCTATTGCCCAGCAGGAACATTCTGTCGTCCGTCAGGAAAATCATTTTGATTATATATATGAATGAGAGAGAGAGAGAGAGAGAGAGAGAGAGAGAGATTGATTACTAATAGCTTCAAAGGACTACTAAATAGAATGTACCTTCCCCTTCAGCTTAATATTTCAGGCTCTAAACGTCCCTGTAAAAGCATTTGCTCATTACTGCATCAACAGAGAAAAACAGTTTCCCCCACAAACCCTCCTCCTCCTGAGTTGGGAAATTAGGACTCTGTGTGGGGAGAGAAATCAGATTAATGGCAACAAAGGACAAATAGAGGGGAAAAACAATGAAGAAGCTGACTCACATGCAATAGGAGGCACTATAGAAATGGAAGTAAATGCCAGTAACACAGAGGGACTGACCAATGCGTCAGGATGCTGCGGTGCAGACTTACCTGCGCTTGTTTACTCGTGCAATGCTGCAGTCATTCTCATACCCTCCTTCTTCATTAAGCATGCCTGTGTGCACAATGTGCCCAACAGGCACATCCAGGTCGTTTGAGAAGAGATACTGCAGAACCTCCAGTGCCTGATCCCCCGTCGACTGCATGATTGAGATGGAGAGATGGGGCTAGGCCAGTTGGCTGAGCAATGTAAACTCTTGGAGGCTGTTCCATAGAACAGCCATGATTCATCCCACCAAAAGCTTCTCAATTCAACTGCTAATGACACAGATTGGCCAAGGCTTCTCACAGGACACAAGAGTATCTAGGAGCTTTCAGAAACCTGGTTCTATTAATTATAATGAGTCATGTCACAAATGCTCCACATCAGAGATTCTCAAACTTCATGCACTATGAGCTTCTTCTGACAACAAAAATACTAATGAACCTGGGGGGGGGGGAGGGGGGGAAGAGGGGAGCAGAAACCTGAGCCCAATGAAGCCACACAGTCCAGGGTGGCGGAGGCAAGCACAAAGCCTGAGCCCCACCCTTCCGAGCAGGGGGGCTGAAACATGAGCCCTGTACCCAGGGTTTGCGCTTCAGCCCTGTGTCCCATCTAGTCTAAGCCAGCCAGAGGAGCTGACAGCCTCCATGGGCCCCTGGGCAAGGTGGGCAGCAGAGGGAGGGACTGGCTCCATGCTCCTGGAAGGGGCGGGGGCAAAGCTTCCTCTCCCCCACCCTGGCCCTCGTGGCCGTATGGAGTGCATGGTGCCGTGCTCCAGTGGTGATTTACGAGGCCTGCGGCTCTAGCTGCCACCACTGCCACAGTAGCCCCGGGCCCTTCTGAACAACAGTCCCCTTTCCTTCCCCTCCCCCCCTCCACTGTCAGCAGGCCTGAAGCCAACCCTGGCAGCCCATTAAAACAGTCACAATAAGTGTTCCCTGTGAGCTGTGCGCTTGTGACACTCCTGGGAAAGATTCAAATGCCACTAAACTGATTAGCAGAGCATCCACAACTAGGTTTTTGTTTCTGCTGATGTGTGAATTCACACATCTCAGGGCACATAATTTATTCCACACGTGGCTGGAAAAGATTAGAGGGAACACTGGGCTGCTGACGCACAGTTTGAGATCTGCTGTTCTAAATAAAATCACAAAGGTTAGTACAAATAAATACTAATCATACAATCAGAATATTACAGGCCTGCTGTAAAAACTGAAATTGCTCATAGAGTTCTCCCTTCCACCTACAGCCCCAGGGGGACAAAGTGTTTTAAGAAAGCAGCAAACTGTCCACAAGAAACAGCACTTGCAAGTCTAGCCCTCTTCCCTCCCCTCCCCCCGGGGCCTTAGGTACTTACGCTTATTTCAAACTTGGTAAAAGATGACATGTCAATTACACACACCGCCTCCTTACAGCACTTGACCTCTGACCCCACAATGTCAAACCAATCTGGTTTGTAGAAGGTCTTGCTCTGGTCCAATGCCAGTAGATCTATGGAAGGCAAGAATCGAGACACTGATTAATAAGCTGACTACAATGATGCACATCAAATCGGTAGGATGCTCTATGCAGAGAATATGATCTCACCTTTCCCTGGTGGGACAAAGTACTTGGGTCTCTCAAATCCGTGCTTCTCCATCCATCTGGCTCCCTGGGCATCCAGGCGATCATAGAGCGGGGAAGTACGCAGCTGCCTGCCAGTCTGGAAGTCCCAACGGGGAACCTTCAGATCATAGATCAGCGCTGTAATAATCAAAGATGGCCTATCAGTGAAGTTGTGACATTTCAGCCCAGCTCCCTTAAAAGGGCTGTCTGCTCACAAGTACTCCTTTCTAGTTGTGAAAGTGTGCTTTGAGCACTCCTACTGTTTAATAGCTAACTAAGAAAAGAACTCTGGTAGGTACGGCTTTGGCTGCTGCTTGTGGCCCAAGCTGCACACTCAATGTTTTCCCTCGGTATCAAGCACATCATTTCTGAAGCAGAATCATTCCAATGTCAGCTCTTCAATGACACCAGTGTCTGATGCTGCACAGAAGCTGAGATGAGGAGCAGCAGGAGTCATAACACTGCTGAGTGCAAGGCTGACTCGGTTTCTAGGTTCGGATTGTTGTTTGCTGTTTCCCGAGAACATAATTGAGATAGATTACAGAGCAGGTTTACTCCACTGTTACCAAAGCATGGCTGGATTAGATACATCTGGAGCCTCTGCTGATGCATCAGACTGTTCTCAAACCTCCTAGCTGAGAGCCTAATCTCTAGCCTTCTCCTTCCAGCCCGTCATCAAATCCCCTTACTTTGTAGCTGGGTGCACGGGTCAGATTTTAAACACCAGAACGAAACCCTGTGATCATCCAGTCCGACCTCTTGCATGACACAGGCCACAAAAGCTCATGCAGTAATTTCTGCATCCAGCCTATAACTTCTAACTGAGCAAGTCTTAAAAAGGCATCCAATCTAGATTTAAAGAGTGCAAGTGATGGAGAATGCACCACATCCTTATGAAAATGGTCCTAATAGCTCATCAGACTCATTGCCAAAAGTTTGCATCTTGTTTCTAGTCTGAATTTGTCTAGCTTCAGCTTCCAACCACTGCCTTGGTCCCACTCAATTTAAGAGCATGCTACCGTCAGAAATCACTTCCCCCTTTTTGGTCCTGACAGACTGCAGTCAAGTCACATCTTAACCAACTTCTACATAAATTACACAAGTGGAGCTTCTGAAGTCTCTTGCTCTGTGGTCTGGACTGCCTCTTGGTTGCTCTATTTGAACCTTTTAAAAAAAAATTAACTTTTTTCTTGAACTGTGGGCTCCAAAACTGCAGCACATATCCAGGAATAGCCTCACTAATGCCATGAGCAGAAGTAATACTCCCCTGCTTATACAGCTACGATTTCATTCACTCTCTTCGCTACAACTTCACACTGGGAGCTCATGTTCAGCTGAGTATCTACCATCACCTCTGCATCTCTCTCTGTCACTGCGCTGCAGCACCCTGCCACATCTTGTGAAAGTGTTTGTTCCTAGAAGCATGATCTTGTATTTGGGCTGCATTAAAACGCACCTTGTTCAAGTGAGTCCAAATTATCAAGCAATCCAGGTGAGGGAGAAGCTACCCCAGAGTTACTGGACTCGCTACCACTTAGTGTGTCATTGCAGCTTTTACCAACAATGATTTTTTATTTTTCCTCCAGATTGCTGAAAAAAAGATACCGAAAAGCATTGGGCTGAACACGGATCCTCTCTGGTGCCATTAGATTTCCTCAAAGGATTAGGATTCCCCATTTACAGAAACTGCTGGAGATCAGTTAACTTGTTTTTAATCGATGTAATATCAACTCCATTAAAGTACTGCTAAGAAAAACAAAAAATCAGCGTGGTGTATTAGTAGTCCTCTGCTGGCAGTGTCAATATTCCGCAGTTCTCATAAGCATATGACTCTGAAGTCCAGATTCTGATGCAGTCGGCCACAATGAAAGCATGGGAAGTCTGTATCTATGTTTGATGACACATCTCTGTGGCACCTTTCACGGTAACCTGAAGACAGTTTCATTGATCCTGCTCAAACATGTCAGATGCTGATCTTATTAGAGAATGCCAATGAATCCAGTTCTGAGCAACTTGCTCAAGTTCTTAGGGACTGATGTCAGCCCACCCAGGACTGCACCTCAGACTGATCGATCTCCCTTCCTTCCTTCCGCCCTGGCTCAGTGTCCAATACAAGATCTGTTTTAGGCATGTCATCCATTCTGATAACATGTCCAGTCCACCTAAGTTGTGCTCTGAATGCTAGTTGTGTTTGCTCTCTCAAGGACCTTAATATTGGTCACTCTATCCTGTGTGTTTGCTCTCTCAAGGACCTTAATATAGGTCACTCTATCCTGCCCGTGAATGCTCATTATTGAGTGGAGGGAGCACATGTGAAATTGGTCAAGTTGTTAGAACCACTGCACTGTAGATCTTTAATTTGGCAGAGAGATGGTTGTTGTGCCGGTTAAACACTTTTGCTCAAAGTCAGTCTAGGGCCTAGCTGGCTTTACTAATTCTGGAGTAGATTTCCTTATCAAGGGAGCCATCACTTGAGATGAGATTGCCCAAATACTTGAACTGGTCCACAGTTTTCAACTGTGTCCCCTGGAGCATTGGAATGAGGTACTGTTTGAAACAAGACCTCGGTCTTCTCGAGACTGAGGGTGAGGCCAAACCTAGGATGCTTCAGAAAATCTACCCACAGCAATCTGACGGTCATCTTGTTGATGGGCCATCAAGGCAAAATTATCTGCAAAAGTGCCTCAACTTGAAACCTTTCTAGTGTCTTGGTCTAAGCACTGACTCCTCAAAGACCAAAGAGGGAGCCATCAAGCTGGTTGCAGATGTATATTCTGATTCAAACCCCTTGTTGCCTGACTGAGAATACAAGCAAAGAACAAGTCGAACAGCACTGGAGAAAGTATGCAGCTTTGCTTCATAGAATCACAGAAGGGACCTGAAGAGGTCATCAAGTCCAGTTCCCTGCCTTCACCGCAAGACCAAGCATCTAGATCATCCTTGATAGAAGTCTGTCTAACCTGTTCTTAAAAATCTCCAATAATGGAGATTCTACCACCATCCTAGGCAACGTATTCCAGTGCTTCACCATCCTTAGCGTTAGGAAGTTTTTCCTAATGTCCAACCTAAACCTCCCCTGCTGCACTGCTTCTTGTCCCATCATCAGAGGCCAAAGGGAACCGTTTTTCTCCCTCCTCTTTGTGACACCCTTTTAGATACTTGAAAACTGCTCTCATGTCCCCTCTCAGTCTTCTCTTTTCCAGACTAAACAAGCCCAATTCTTTTTCAGTCTTCCCTCGTAGATCATGTTTTCTAGAACTAATCATATTTGTTGCTCTTCTCTGGACCTTCTCCACATCTTTCCTGAAACTTAGTGCCGAGAACTGGACACAAGACTCCAGTTGAGGCCTTATTGCACAGTACTGTGGAAGAATGACTTCTTGTGTTTTGCTCACAACACTTCTGAAATGCAACAGGGAGATCAGGAAGTTGTTGCAGGAGAGATGCTCTTCTGGAAAATCCAACTCCACGTTGCTCTTCTCTGGACCTTCTCCACATCTTTCCTGAAACTTAGTGCCGAGAACTGGACACAAGACTCCAGTTGAGGCCTTATTGCACAGTACTGTGGAAGAATGACTTCTTGTGTTTTGCTCACAACACTTCTGAAATGCAACAGGGAGATCAGGAAGTTGTTGCAGGAGAGATGCTCTTCTGGAAAATCCAACTCCACG